TGGCAGGAAAGAGGCTTTCCCTGAATCGCAGCTTTTTAATTCTGGCACTCGTGATCGCTGCCTCTTGAGAGTTACGACTTCTGTATTTGCTGCAGTTACATTTTTAACAGCAGGTTTTGTTTGTCTCGATAAACGCGTATGTTAGGCTGAGCTACAAGTAGGTGGGTAAGGCTGGAGGAGCAGAAGCGTGGTCTTTGCTATGTATGTCTTAAATTCATCTCACTAATAACTGCAGTTAGTAATTTCTGTCCCTAGATAGACCTGGAATTTTTCAGTTCATTTCCAGAAACGTAGATAGGAGCCCTGTGCAGTAGTTTTCGACTTTGTTTTTGATTCAGCCTTTAGTTCAGGTGGTTAACTGCAATATGGAAAATACAATGAACATTGAAATTAATGTTATAATCTTAATTTTCTAAAGCGACCCATAAACAGGTATTAGGAAACTGTGAGGGAAGATAGTGAAAGAAAAATAAAGAAAAAATAATCTACTTCACATACAGTTCATAGTGATTTACAGCTACTGTCTGTCTTCTGTAGTTTTTTTTTTTCACAGATTGTCAAAAGTAAACCCAGTAACCTTACCTTTCTGCTTCTTCCTGACACTCGTTCCAGTGTGAAATCATATAGGGGAAAAATGATAACCTCAACAGTTAATTTTGCAGGAGTCCTTTAAAATATATAATAATGGAATAAAATTTCATAGAATCTTGGACTCAGCTCCTTCTAGCAAAAGATTGGACTTCTAAAATACAATTAACTGTATTAATTTCTCACCAAACACTTTTAGCTTTTTTTTTTTAACTAAGGTGCTGAAGTCTAAGACTTTTCAACGTTTTAGTATGCCTGTTAGCTTTTTGTGGGATTCTTTAATGCTAAAAAGGCTGCACGTTCTAAAACACTTATTCTTTTATATTCATTCTGTAGAAAACGCAATGAATGTACACGTCCCCCGTGACCTAACAAGTACGTTCTAATAAACCTCAACAGTGACCTTCTGAAGGCCTGCTGTTTCAAAGAAATAGGTTATGAATCTTCATTTGTCTATGTGGTTTTATTTTTTTATTTACAAATAATGTGGATCTCCTTATGATGGAAATGAAGTCCGCTTCTAGAAGGATGGAGATACTAATCTGTTTATTGCTGTGGGTTAGATTTGACAAGCATTTTACTGCTGTTTTACTGCATCTTTACAGTTCCAAGATTCTGTAAACGGAGGAGCCCTTTGCTAGCATCAGGCTATGAGTTGCTATGTAAGATGATCTGTATTCGTTTACTTGTCCATCTCTCTAAATGTAAGACTGCCTTTCACTGTATTTAATGTTAAGATTTGTAAAATAATGTATGAACTCTTGATCCTCGATCATGAAGGAGTGTGTCTGGATAGGTACTGATCCTTGCTCTTGTGGTAAATTTGTGAAGTAATGGGTTTGCTGTAGTTGGGGGGCAGGTGTCTTGTGTACGTGTGGATATTGTATACACACAAGTGTATTAAATACAATCCAGAAGGTAGGCTGTTATCCTGTATAAGGGTTTTAATGCTTGGAATTAAAAAACTTTGATTCTTCAGGTGGAGCTGAGACCTCAAGAGCATGGATCGTGCATTTCCCTCCCTGTCTCCTAGCCTAGTCCATAGTTTACTGTTGCTTCAGCCATTTCACGTTTCCAGTGCCTTGATCTAATCCATATGGTCTCTAGCCAAACTGCAGGTGTAGCTTTATCATGGTTTTGATGAAAATGATGCCACACTGAATATTATATGCAGTCATAGGACATCCTGCCAGCTATCTCCTTGTATTCATTTTGTCTATGATGAAAATTAGGGAAGTTAGGGAATTTAGTGAAAAATCTAAATCCTTTTGCAGCCTGTAAATGTTAGGGAGTCATTCTGAAAAGTACTTCTGTATGTTTCATCATATTATTGATACGTGATTTCTGAGATGATTCTATAAACTATAAATTGGTGTTCAGTAACCTGAAGTGTCAATGCAAGTTCTTATCCTAAAGCCTAACAGAGGATCTGCGTTCTATTCTGTAATGTTCATTTATGAAAGATAATTTCTGTGTTCTATGTGTTTATAGGTGAAACTATTAGGTCCTCTTATTTCATTGTATTCATGAACTTCAGTTTTTCTTATTCAGTTTAAATGTTTTAATAGATTTTAGCACAAATCGTTTAAAAAGTTGTATTGAATCGTGTGCTTAATACTTCTCATTTTAAAAAAAAATTCACATAGTAATGAAATACTGTTGTTTGTTTTTGTTTTGTTTTTCCCTTTAAGTCACATCATCCTACCTCGGTGGATGGCTTGGCCTCTTGAATAGTTCAAGACTCTTGGATGACCATACTTTATGCAAAATCTGGAATCTTCCTGCCTGGACTCCTTTCTGTTTTCTAAGGGTAACTACTCGTATGTTTTTACGAAATCATATCTTACATGCATAGCGCATGTTCTGATAATCAGCCCTGGATGTTATTTTTGTGGGTTAGAGTGGTAATCTGGAAAATAATTTTTAAAAACTGAGCGTATAATATAAAGTGCAGTGCTTTAGGTTTAGGGAATAGCATAAGCTCTTTGGCTTGAATATTTTGAATTTGCATAACTTTTTTTTTTCTTTTTAATGAGGAAGTACTATAATGTAACAAAGAATTTAATATTGCCATATGATCACATTTCTTGGAAATTTGTGAAGTAAGGCCTCAGTCTTACAGTGATGTCCACTGTTCAGCTGCTGAAATGGGAGTGTTACAGTCTTGTCTTGTGAGGAGAAGGTTCTTTGGATACTGAAGAAAAGTTGTTGTGTGCTACTCTATCAGAGGAAGCTTAAAGTGGTTTCTGATTTGGTTATTGAAAATTACTTATCTAAGTATCCCATAGAGAGAGCAGTATGGGCATGCCAATTTTATATAGTTAGTAAGCTATAATTTTTGTTATTAATGTATCTTTACGTAGATCACTGTCACCCTAAAATACATGTCAGTGTTATGTAGGTGAATATATCAAGCATCTCTGTATTGAAAGTAAATAAATACTGTAAAGAAAACAGATTGAGAACGGTTCAGTTGAGTAGAACAGACTGTGAAGAGGTATGTCGTCACACTTGCAGTTCTAATAATCATTTATCTCTCCAGTGAGATACTTTAGTGGACCTGTGGTGGTTTGATTCTTGTTGTTTGGATTGCTTCATGTTCTCATTTAATTACAGTTTATTTTTACTATGGGAATTTCTGGACTTAGTAACTCTTGATCATGTGTTAGCTTTTGCTAACTACTATTGATGCTTAGTTTAAATGATTCCAGGCCCTTCTTCCTCTAAAAAAAAAAAAATCCACCCAAAATTCTTGGCAAAAAATCTGCTAAACACACTCTCATTAAAAATATACACCTGTCAGCTTTGTTTGTAAATGTGGAACTAAATACACAAGTACAGAGGGAGAAAGGAAGAAGAGTGATGGTGGTTTCGTTTGTTGAAAGTTTTTCTCTACTTGACGTTGGTACTGCCTCAGCAGCTCTCTGCAGTACCCTCTAGTGATAGATACCAGCTGCTGAGAATATGGTTCTTTTACTGTCGTAAACAGTCCACATCCACTTGTTCCAGCTTGCGGAAGGTACCCATCCGAACAGAGTTTCTTCTCTGGAGTGAAATGTTGTGCTTTGAAACCTAGCCGTGGTAGTTTGTAAAGCAAAGCTTTTACCAGTGTTTTATGCCATTAAATGGGAGTAAGGAATTTAGGAAGATGTCCTTTAAGCGCAGGAATTGTCGATATCCCATTAGACATAACATAAACAGGTTGCCTGGGGGAGTTCAGACTAACTTTTAAATCAAGGTAAAACTCACTCTCCAGTGCTTTGTAAACAACATTTCAGCTCCTAAAATACTAGTGTATGATACGTGTTTGTTCTCTAATTCCACAAGTAATGAAGTGACAGTGGGAAGGCTGAGAATTCCAGACTAGTTCTGAGCTAGACTCAGTCTTCCTCTCATTCCTTTCCTCTACTTAATGAATGCTATTCAGCCTACTTTTATTTTCAAAATGTGGGAAAGGATGTTAGGTACATCCATGTACCAGGTGTGGGGTTTTTTTTTGTATGTGGTTTTGGGATTTGGTTTTTTTTTTTGGTGGGAGGGAGTGGGGGATGTTTGATTTCCTTTTTTTTAAAAAAAAAAAAAAGTCTGCACAGAGGCATGTCTTGGTTCTGTGTTCCAGTTGCTTTAGTAGCAGCAGACTTGGGGAATTATAGGTCAGAATTTGGTGACAAAAAAGTTGACATTAATTCTGCCTTCTTTGAGCAGCTATTTTCTATCATTTCTGACTCCTCTACAGAAGTTGTTACATAGGAGTTTAGGTATGGGAGTGAGCTGGTAGGACTGCACTCCTCCCTATATGCACACTTTTAGCTACTTGTGCCTTCTCCAGCAGTTACTCATCTTGGTTAAAGTGGGGCAGGGCTGGCAGGGGTGTGGAGGCAGTGGACTTAAATACTTTTTTGTGTGTTTTAAAGTGTCTTCAGGTCCAAGTTACTTTTTACTTTGTTTTCTAAGGTGTTTAATCCTCCTTCCCTCACTTCCTCTTAATTTTTGCTAACAACCAAGATGTCATTTTACTGGCATCTCCAACACTTGCTGAGGGTACCAGATGAGATACACTGTTCTGTGTAGTCTGACAGCTTACTGTGTTACGTAAGTCATGTTTAAGTGATCAGTGTTAAGTCTAGATGGGAGGAAAGGATTTATACTGTATCTGTTAACTGTAGCTTTAGCCCTACCTTTTTCTTGTGCAGATTCTTATACATGGAATACTACTCAAGAGTCAGTCCACCACTTAATTAAAACTATTAATGAAGCCGTGTTGCCTAAGCTAAAATGTATGTCGGTTAGGGGAAAGATTATAATTAAAAATAGTACGCAGCATGCATCAGATAATTCTGGGAAATAACCATAACTGTAGGGATGTTTGTCTTCCTTTGCACTTCCTGCAGATAGATGTGTGCTTATGAAATGTGTGTCCATGGAAGAGAGGGGGGAGCAGAAAATCAGGTTGTCAGCTTGGATCAGTCACTAGCACAAGTTTACAATCCAGAGAGACTTCTGTCTGGTTTTACTGTTACATGCTTTCTACAGTTACGAGCCAAAGGAGACTTTGAAAGGGAGCTAATTACAATAGCAAGGAGTCTCTAATTTTCATTTTAGTACTTAAGTTGCATTACTGAAAACTAGACAGGCAGCTTTCACTCATGAGGTGCTTACGCCTATTCAAATCCAGTATTTCCGTCCTAGGAGATAAAGTAATTTATCACTCTGAGACAGTCTTAGGCTGAAAAATGCAACACTGTGGCTATATGAGAAGGATCAGGCCAGTCTGAATTTAGTAATACCCTAAAGAAAAGCCAGAAGGGACCACTATCAATGGAATGATTTTGACCTGCTTAGTGCAGGCCCAGTACTTTATTGATGATCTTGCTATTTAAACGTGTTCTTTAATGGTATACGAATAACTCTTGCATAGTTGACTATAGCGCTTGTTTTGTGCATAAAAAGTTTGTGTTCAGAAAATATGAACTGTGGCACTCGGATTTTATATACTCATGTTTCTTTAAGCTTTTCTCTACTGAAAATTACAGCTCTGGGTGGTTCTGAGTTCTAAACATTGTTTTAACTCAAAACCTTTTTTGGAAGGTGAGGATGAGGAAATTAAGTAGTAGTTTGCCCAGATAAAAGTAATTGAGTTTTTTCACACGCTGCATTCTTTGCTGTGACTGTTTCCAGCTGTACCTCCTAACCATGTGTCAGTGGCAGCTGCACTGCACTATCAGACCCTGTGACAGATGGAGCTGTGTTTTTCCTCTGAAATGGTGGCATGAGTCCTGTATTGTTCACAACACATCGCAATGTGAAATTTTCTTGGTAGCCTGGAATGTTTCTTTTGAGTAGCTGTGCGCTCTGACCGGGCCTGTTTGTTTGGTATTCTGTGTGGGTTTGCCAGCCAGGGACGTGTCACTTCCCTCCAAGTTTTTTCAAACTCTGGTAGAGTGTAGGGTTACAGTACATGGATGGTTCTTCCCGTCTTAGCAGGGAGTAGTTTCTATGAAATGTCCTCCATGGAACTGGAGGAACTGAGGAACATACTGTCATGGGCAGAATTTCTATATAGTCTCCTTTCTAGTTCAGTGATATGGATGGAGAGTTTGGCACTGAGTTCGCTTTGCTTCCTTTTTTCTGTATCTGCAAAATAATTTTAATTAAGAAAGCATTCTGCCATAAATGGCCCGTAGCTCAGTTTTCATTACTATAATGAGAGAAGATAAGAAAACGTCAAAAAAAAGTTATTGAGATGTGGTGTTCCTCATTGTTCTTCGTTTTTTTTGTGACAAAAGATTCTAAAATAGAGCATCTGAACTCAACAAGAATCAGTTGTTGAACTTTATGAAAAAGTTCAAGAGGAGAGTGACTTACAGCTTGCCTCTTTTATTGTTGAACAGCTATGTATAGACCTCACCTTTGAAGTTGGCATAAACTTTAATTTTTGTTTAGTTTGTTTACTTACCGATTACAGAGTTATCAGATTGGTGTGTTCCAAAATCCTCTTACTTGATCCAGCTCTTTGAGATCTGAGTAGGACCTGGAATTAGACTGGAGTAAAGAGAGTGCAGCTTCTAGACACTTTGTGTTTTAGCATGCCCAATTTGTGCTTCTTTGAACTGACTGTGCATTTCTGTCGGCCGATTGAAAGGGCTGATGACTGTGCGGCAGTTGCTCAGCAATGCAGGATTGTCCGGGCACGGTAGCGTGGATTTTTGTGTGGTCTTCTGTTTGCTTTCCTTCATACCAAAAATTGAAGTGGGGGGAGCATTGCATAACTAAATAACGTGATCAACATCTTACATGGCAAAGTAATTCTATCAGAAGAGAGCACTTGGCTGGTTTTATGAATTTTGGGTTTGGGATGTGTGTGTTAATATGCAATGCTACAAAAAGACAAGTTGCTTAGAAAATATGGAGTAGTTGGTTAAGGATAGGACCCTGTCAGAAATTCTTACGCTAGAAAGTAAAGCAAAAGGCCTGATAAAATGTAGATTAGCTAGTAACAAAGGGGCTTTGTATCTTTTGTAGGTCAGCAACTGAGTGTGTTTGACAGGAACTGAAATTTAATGTCTCCTGTAGCAACCATGATACTAGTCATTTTTTAAATCCACTGTACCAGTGGTACTCTGGTTTTCATTAGCCTTTTCCAAATTTTTATGTAACCTCTGAAGTCATCTAGTGTCTGGGGAGAGGCTTGCAAATCCTTGCAATTAGGCAGCAATCATACTAAACAGAATTTCTGTAACATAAGATAGGAGTATGTCTGTATATTAAAAAAAAAAATAAAATCTGACCTCTAGGGAGTGGGGAGTCTTATTAAGTAGAAATATTTGAAGTTGAATCAAATAATGTTTCTTGCACTCTTTTTTTTTTATAGTTCAGAGTGCTGTCATGCTGAAGCTTTGTTTCATATTTCTAGAATGCTCTGGGGCAAATTTTATGAAGCAAATTTTAGGAATTAAAAGGAGGGTATCTGTATGTAAGCATGAAATATTTAGTCTAATTAGACTACTGTATGAATTTAAAAGTTAAGCATTCCATTTTAAGTTATTTTTGTGAAATTGTATGTCCTCACATATAATAGTTTACTTGCCTTTTACACTTGCTTACAGAATTTAAATACTAGCACATTTTTGAAATGTTATCTGAATTACATAATGTTAATTTCTAAGTCTAGTATTTTCTGCATGTCTAACAAAGTGTAAATATATATTTTAAAGTATATTAAAAGCAGTAAATTGTCAAAACCAAGCATTCTGAATGTATAAAATGTCAGAATTACTGTTCCCTGTATGGTCTTAATTTCATTCCCTTGTGAGTGTGAATTTTGGTCTGCTTTAATTAGTTAGTGGAGAGAAGAAAAAAAAAAAAGAGGAAGAACAAAACCTGATGTGCACTGTATGGCAAGGATGGTGTTTAGTGAAACAAATAGCCATTTCAGTGTATATTTGTATCCTTTATAGTAATAGTATGAGATAATGTCTTAGGTAGTACGCAACTTTTAAATGTCACCTAAAATGGAGCGTTAATAATTTTGTTGAGTTTTCTGTGGTTTGCAGACACTAATTGTCTTCATGATATGTTACGAGTTGTTATATTTAGCTACAGTTTTACTGTAAGTCCTGCATAATCATGATTTGCTGTAGATTGTGTCTAAAATTATTGGTTACTGACAGTGTTGTCGATAGTTTGACTGAGGATGCCCCACACACACACACTCTGCCCCCCCAAATACTTCTAATTATATTTGGCACCTGAAGTTTGTATCCTGGTTTCTGCTGACTCTGTTGGTAATTGAGTGCTCAGTACTGTCTGGTTCTCTTCGCTCTAAATGGGGTGCTGGGATGAGGAAGTGATTTGTGCTAAGTGTGGGAAGATCACCTTGGTGATCACCACATCCAGGCACCTTATGTTTTTTTAAAGAGATTTGGCTGGTGCTGTGGCAGTTTAGCAGAAAACTTTGGAGTAAAACAGACTCCCAAAGTTAAATTGCAGCACTGATAAAATTACAGGTAATTTTTTCATTGTTTTTTTTTAATAGTGAACGTGTTAAACTGAACTATAGGCCAGACTACTACCTGTTGTGTAAAAGTGCATTCTTATTACAAATCTAATATCATCCAGGTATGTCCTTAAAAGAAAAAGTGGGTGTGATCGAGAAGTCTTGAACTCCTTTACCAACTGTGTGTTTTTTCCTGTGTGTCTTAACTGAGAAGTGTGCACTGCTTGCTTACTTTCTGTTCCTCCAGAGGAGCTGAGTTCTCCAAGCCTTGTCTAGGCAGATGGATGTAGCCATGGAGCCCTGCAGTGCTTCCTGCAAATCTGGAGAAATCCCAAAAGTAAAAGAAGCTTTATCCTGCTGCCGTCTCCTTGTCCCCAAAAGTCTAGCAACAGGCTAGCAGCTGGCAGCTGTGACAATCAGCTGAGCTATTGCTGGCAGTGTCCAGTGCTCACATGAAAAGGAAGTTGGGAGGCCCTCTGCAGCGTGCAGGGTCTGGATCATTGTGTATGAAGGATCTGCCCTTAATCTGCCACTGGGTGCCTAATTTATGATCGCTTAATTTTTTTTAATTGATTGGGAGCGAAGTGCCTGTATTCCATATATTCGACGGACGCATTAAGATGTGCGTGGTCAAGACTTTACCAGTGCTTCCTGTGCATGGTATACTCATTCTCTGTGTTCATACAAGTGATCGCATAGTGCTTGTTGTCCCTAATAAAACACTTTGTATCATAAATAGTAATTGCAAAGTATCCAAGCATATATTTGTCTGGATCACGTGGTTTTTTATGTGTGTGTGCATACAGGGTTTTTTTGTACCACAGTGTTCTAGGCCTACTGTATTTCAAAGCAAAAGCACACAAAGCAGATTGAAAGCAACTAAATTCCCTTTCTTTTCTTCTAGCTATTTACCAAAACTGGTCACTTTTAAAATGCCACTTGATAGCCTCCTCCTCCTGCTGGATGTCATTAGTGTTAAGTCAGTAGCAGGCTGTGAACCAGCAGCCATGGGCACCGATCATCATTCCGTGAGCATTGTGGCCCAACCAAATTTCCTACCATCATTTAGCAAAACTAGTAAGCTGTGGAATGGATATAGGGATCCCATGGGAGGTGCTGCTGTTGGTCTTGCTGGGTGGTTCAACTGTAGTAAAACAACTTTAAGACTCCAAAGAGGAGGGAGAGAAAGGAGTTCTATAGAGAGTTCACAGAGTCACTGAACAAGACATTAAGAATACCTTAATGAAACAAAAATGGGTGTTGAAACTAGCTTTGAAATATTACATACTGTCCCTAGCAATGAATTTTAAAATGAAAATGTTGAAATATTCTGTATAGTTGTTATAATCCTTAGTATAAGCATCTCTTTTATTTCATGTGGCCATTCAGATATTTCTCATTAATTTTTGTATGCTATATAGTTTTAATGGATAAGAGGCTAAAAAGCTCACTTACTAAAGTTTTTAAACAATTTAATTCATCTTCTCATAGTAGAGTTAAAAGTAAACCTTAAAACCAAAACTTGGAAGTATATGGCTTTTTTAAGAAGAGTTACTAAATTTCTTTCATGTTTTCTGCTTTAAAAAAAAAAAAAAAATTATGTGAAATAAAGCTGGAAAGTTCATCTTCTCGGTGAAAGTAGTATCTTGTGTAAGATTTTTTTTTCTATCTTTCAACGCTCTGTGGCATTAGAGTCTAAGTTAACCAGTACATAGTACACCACAAACTTTTCAAAAGTGTCTGTTGAGATCTCAGAGAAGCAGCGATGGTCTTGCCCAAGGTTAACTCATGATTTCTCTCTTTCAGGTTCATGTTGGGGAGAGGTCTAAAACGCAAGCTGAGTGACTATGAGGAGAACATGGCTGGTCTCTCGAGTGCCTTTGATTCCAGTCGAAGTCTGCCGTATCCGCTTAGGAGGCAGTTGGTGCTCAATATGTGCCTCACCAAGTTACAGACGTACAAAATGCTGGTGGAACCGAACTTGCACCGCTCTGTCCTCATAGCCAACACAGTGCGGCAAATTCAAGAGGAGATGAGACAAGAGAGTAATCAGCAGCCAGTTAATGTCTGCCCTGGCATTACTCTTGGTTCTCACAGCTATGCAGGGATGGAATCATGTGGGATTTCTCTTCAGTTGCCTTCAGGTATTAGCCAGCAAGAGCCTAACTGTTGCGACTTGCGGTCTGTAGAAGACCCAATAGAAAATAGCCTGCTGATAGTTTCAGATGATGATATGTCATCTGCTATTTCATCTATTCTGAAGGATTTAGACTTTGTTGAAGATATAAGCCCACCTACTTGTCTGATTCCTACTGGAGATGACCAGCCAAAGTTTCCAGAAAATACTGGTCTAAAGCTAGAAGATGATAGACAGGATTTGAAGGGAGCTGAATGTGTGTTTGGTTCCTTTGAGATTTCAAATTCAACTAGCTACTTGAAGGATCTGGCAATAGATGACATTTTTGAAGATATCGACACTTCAATGTATGATTCAGACTTCTGTTGCCCTCCAGTAATGCCGCCCAGACCACCATCTCTTGCTACAGAAGAACCGTTGAAAACCTTTCCATCTTGTAATTCTTCCTCGGCAAGCAACATTCAGATATGTAGAACAGATCTGAGTGAGTTGGACCACATCATGGAAATTCTGGTTGGATCCTGATACTTGTTTTACCCAAAGATACTTTTTAACTGCCGCTTTCATTTGGTTTCAGGATAAAAGCCACTGGAAAAGTTGTAAAGAATTCTTTAAAAGACAAACGAAAAATAATTTGCCTGTAGTGGGATTTGCTAAGTAATTTCAAAACTTACAAACCAAGAAAGTGGCAGATTTTCTTTTTTAAAAGAAATATTTATTTATCAGAACTGTGCAATCATCTTTTTCCTTCCAGGGTGTATGTGGAACACTAGGCACATACCCTTATCACCCCTCATGCCTCTTTCAATAAACTTTTTTATGTGCAATTTTTAATTTGTCAGAAGAATTTACATGCAAAACAAATTTCATATGAGATGATCTTTTACAAAGCCTCCACTTTATTTTTAATATCAGAGTCTATGCCAAGTTGGCATACGTCAAGTTGCATAGTTGGATTGCATGGATTGCAGACGCATTACTAGAGATGGGTATATTTTAAAAATGAGACATGCTTTCTTTGGGTCGGAAAAGCAGATCAAGACACTTCTCAACAAAGTCTCTTGCATTTTCTAAAGCATTCAGAACTATTTATTTTTGTAAATTTTATAGTCTTTCTACATTTTACTACGTTATTTCATCATAGTTCAGATATAATGGACTTCTAGTGGGATGTGTTTAGCACTACCTCTGAGCTGAAATGCTTTAACTCTTTCCAGTGCTTCGTCTAAGACTGCAGATCTTTTGGTTTCTATTTTTTTTTTTTTCTGGGGGAAAGTACTTCTAACTCATTAAGCTGATCCTTTGACAGTGACCTAGCTGATTTGTGAAATCAAGGGTATTCAATGTTTAAAAACTTTTAAGTATTTACAAATGTAATTTATACGTAGATTGTGCAATTTAACATTTTTCTGTCAGTATTACGTGCTTAGATTTGAATAATCTTGGCGTTCTTTAAATTAAAACTTACTATGTACAGGTAGCTTTTTAATCTGTTTTGGAAAACACTGTCCTTCAACCCTGCTTTCACTACAAAGTTTAAGATGATTTTTATGTGCAATATTATTTAAAAGAGATACACGTTTGTATTCCTGGCATTGTAGAAAGAAACGCTTCAAACTTAAAACTTCTAGCACCTTGGGAGGATACTCAAGAGAGTCAACGTTTCTGTATCCTTTAAGAAACAAAGTCGAGAACACTTCTTACCACACAGTCCTTACTGCTTTGAATCCTCCTGAAATAACTCATTGATGTGTGGTGAGTCAGTGCTGATGACTAAGAGCCATCCCGCAGCTGCGTCCCTGAGAGCTCAGGGGTCTGACCGCTTGGATGCAGCGCCCGGGCTGGGTGGGGCCTGCGTGGGCTTTGGAAGCATCATGGTGGCAGCTGCTGCTGATGCTGCAGATTGTGCTGGCGAAGGAGGGGTGCGTGTGTGCATGGCAGGTGTGTACATAAGTATATATAAGTGCACTCGTGAACTGAAGATGAGTTGAAGTGAGAACTATTTTTCCATAAGACAGTTTGGAGACTTGTGTTTCAGCTTGAACTGAGGTCTATGTTGATCCTTGCTATGGTCTTCTGAGCTACACACTTGCACATTAGGGTTTTGGGGGGGGGGAGTTTATTTTATTTTTTAATTATAAAATTTCTATTTGTTCTTGAAAGCTGCAGCACCTGTCTGTAAGAAAATTCGCAGTTGTAAAAGCTTTGCTTTGGTTTGTTGTTTTTTGGGTTGTTTTTTTTTTGTTCTGCTGAGACTTTTAATGAATGGGGCATCAGCAAAGGAAAAAAATGTTGCCTGTGTGTTGCATCTCACAGAAGTTGAAATCCTGGTCCTGTTAAAGGGACCAGGGTGTCACCTACTGTTTCTAGTCTTAACTGATGCTGTGGCACACCTACCTTGTGCAAAGATCTCCATTTTTTTACGGTGACTGTTGCGGTTAACAGTTAGCTGCCGATGCAATTTGGTATCCGAAACCAGTGGAGAACCAGTTCAGGTCATGTCCTCGCAGCCATCTCGGTTGTTTAGCAACCGAAGGGTATAAATGTATTTATATGCATATAATGTATTGATTCTAATATAAAACTTCTGATCTAAAGTATTTTGAATTGCTGGATAAAGGGATTTGTTTGAAGAGTGTATAAATAGTTCTTGAAGAGGTACAGCTTCAGAATGTACACAGATTGTGCATTGTGTATAGACTACTCTGGCTTTTCCTCAGCCTCTACTTTTGTATTAAAGATATGACTGAATAAATCCTTGGAATATTAAGGGCCTTCTGCACTGTGATGAAGCAGAGTTGTGGTTAAAAATGTCTTTAAATTCAGTGATACGGAATAAAAAAAACCTGCATCTAATTTCTTTTTGCATTTGAAAATATGGAATGTTACTATGCAGTAAAGATATTTTGCTATGAAAATCCTATCATGCAGCAAATAGTGAACACTTAATAAATCCACTCACTCACCTTGCAGCCCCTGCAGAAACATAAGAGCAAACTTGCTTTTCAGCATTTACATGCTAAAGTTTTCTGTGTGCTTCAGAAATAGATTAAATTATCAACAAATCAAGATGCATTTTTTGTTCAGGTGCTTGCTATGAATCTCTGATGGGTTGCTTGCATCACAGTGCCAAGACCATAAGCTGGTATGTAATGCAGTTTGGTTATGTACGGAATTATGTGCAAAGGGAAGCTTAATTTTTAAATATGCACAAACTAATTTTAAAATCCTTCCATGTAAAATGAAGTTAGAGGCTAGTTGTGATGGACCTATTTATTGTATGTTTGGAAATAAAAGCCACAGTTTTGCAGTTTAACCGTTTGTTTTTTGAAGCTTTTGGCATTTGACTGTTATAAAAACAAAACAAAACGTGGTACCTTGCCACCCTTCATTTGGTCTTTTACTCATGAACATGTAACATTTTCCCAAGGTGAAAGCTTTTATATATTTGGGTTTTTTCCACCCCCTTCCTTTCTCCACAGAAATACTAAATACCTTACACAGCTTCGCATCCCCTTTTGCATGTCCCGTCCCCACAGAACAAGGGCTGGCCTATGGAGTGTTTTATTCTAGCTGTTGGGGTGGGGAGATTCCTGTTGTGAACAGGTGGCATGTTTGTTAGCACTTATTGCTTTCAAGTCATGTGGAGACTCCGTAAAGGGAGTGTCGGGTTTTCATACGTTCATCCATTTTAGCCACACTGAAAGATCTGAACTTGAAAGTGTACTGAGCAGCACAGCTCGCTGTAATGCCGGTGTAAAACTGGGCTAGCTGAAAGGTGCAGGGACTGCTGGAAGTGAGACGTAAAAAGGCTGACTTTCCCACTCAAGCAAGAGTCAAATACATGAAAGAAAATAATCTATCCGTTAGTCCTGTGAGGATGGCGAGTTATAATTAGTTGTAAAGCTAATTTTGAGCTATTAAAACCCAATGTTAGAAGTGAAGAGTTAAGACGCAAAGGTGTGTCTATAAGATGTGTTATTGAAGCAGACATTCACAGAAGCTGGAAGATTTTTGGCATTTACGTATTTGCCCAGCATTCACAGGTATCTTGCCTTGATTGAAAAAGGGAAAAAAAAAAAAAAAGTTGCAACTTCATTCCATACATTTTTGCCTCATTAGGACCCGTTTATTCCAGCAGAGCACTAAGCTAGACTGGCTGTGCTTTGGCACCTAGGCTGTGCTGTGGGATGACAATGTATGAGGTTGGCACCTGTGTTTCAGTGGAACACATGGAGAACGGGAGAAGTTAGGTGTGACTGGAGCAAGCCTGTTGCATCTGCTGGTTGGGCTGTTTGTTTTTGTTTTCTTTGAATCATCCAGAGTGGATCTGGCAAGTTAAACTCAGATCCACGGAGAAGTTTGAGGCATAACGATTAATTTGAATGCAGCTCGGTTTTAGCCAAATCCCCTCTGCCATTTTAACTGGAGTATGAGTACTTCGGGAAGTCCTGTTAAAAACCAGGCGGACTAATAAAACTGAGCTTCGCTATTAAAAAGATCAGAGTCCTTTTAAATCCTGTAATGACCCTGGCACTTTGAAAAGAACTCTTTAAGCTTTTACAAGATTTTTTGTTTGTTTCTTTGTTTTTACTGTAAGTTTTCTGCAGATGTCTAGCCAATGGTGGGCTTATGGTATACTTAGAAATCATCCTAGCGTCTGGAATGTTTGGGGGTTTTTGTGTTAACCAAATTCTACATGTTATTTGGACTTCTAAAAATAAGTCTACAAATACTAGCAATATGCTGTTTCCAAGACAAAACTTCTCAAAAATTTGCCTTCCTATTCTGCTCAATTTTAAGGATTGTTTGTTGAAGTAAGTTGCCTAAAATTTTACTTGTGTTGTAGCTTTGAACAGAACACGCATTGAAATGTTTTCAGTCTTCCACAATGTAGTTGTTCTTTTTTTTGCAAAGCTATTTACAGTGCTCCATCTACAAAGAAAGCATTTCAGTAATTACATTTCTGATTTGAACTTTTAAAAACTTTGTTCTATGGGTGTATTTTCCCTCTAACCTCAGTGAAAGAAAAAGGTGTTCCTCCCTAACTCTGCTGTCTGTAACGCTTACCTTGCTTTAGTTTTCACCTTTTCGAAATCCTGAGCAAATGTCAAAAGTCTGTGGTATTTGCTTTCTGCAAACAGAGAGTACAGTAACATGTCTAGTTCATCAAAACGCAGTATTTTCCAGCTAAGAGCTCACAACACAGATTAGAAATGATGAAAATCACAGCTTAAAAACGTACTAAGGCACAAAGTTTTATTTCCTACGCGCACTGTTTTCACAGAATAAACACCTGCTTCTCAGCACAGCCGTGCGTTGGGGGAGCGGGTGGGCAGCGGTTGCTTGCAGCTTGGCCGGGTGCCGGGAAAGGCAGGAACAGGGAAATGACTAAAGGAAATGAATAGCTGGTATTTGTGCAAACCACACCAGAGGGGTTTCCGGCACCCCTCGTTTCCCAAGATAACAACAGGAGGCAGGGCTACTTTATACTACGCAATATGCCTGAAAATGGTCCGCTAAAA